ACTTGCCCAAGGTGACCCTTGTACTAAGCATCAATGTGAACTCTTGGATTCCAGTTGAGTGGGCTTTAGGTTGGGACTGGAATTTGACCTTGCTTTTGGCATTAGTATTGAGGTTATGGTTTGAGTTAATGTTGAGGCTGGCATTAGTATTGGAATCCAGTCTGGGCTGCTGAAATTGAGGTTAGTACAGGGGTTAAGGCTATCTTTATACCATGTTGTTTATTCATACGTCTGAACATAACTTATATCACTGTCAAGTTAAAATCTGTCTACAACACGTTGCTTAACACACCCAGCTCCTCTCTGGTGGAGAATGGCCAGCTTCTCTCCATCCAGGAAGCCTGCCCCAGAGGAAATCTGAATGACCTTTTGCCTCTCTTTTCAGTCTGAGCCTCTATTCCAAGCCTAATTGCCCAAATATGTATAGATCCACCCTGGTCCTTTCACCCTCTTTTCTAAAGTAACCGTGAGAAAGAATGTTTGGCAAGATGGACGGTTTTTTTGACTATCTCTGAGGTCCATTCTTCTAGTCAGCCTATGGCAATCAGCCTCTAGCATCAATGGCCCCCCCCCTTCATTTTTCCATCCCACCCCAATCATAAGACTACAGAATTTTAGAATTGAAGGGACCTCAGTGACCATATAGTCCAATCCCAAAGATCCCCCAAAAGAATCCCAACTATAATGTACTAGACATGCAATTATCTGATATATCACTCTCTGATTTAATAAATGTGGCCCAGAACTGAATACAGCCCTTTAGGTGAAGTCTGCTGTCCACCTACGCCTTCCCTACCTTATACTTGTGAAACTGATTTTTTGCACCCAAATGTAAGAGACTTTACATTCACCTCTATTGAATTTCATCATCAGGACTCCAGCCTACCATGATTCTCTGGATTATGTCATCTAATGTGTTAGCTATCCCTCCCAGTTTTGTGTCATTTGCATATTTGATGAGTGTGCCGTCTTTGTCTTTATCCATCAGCCTAGTATGATGTTGTTGATTTGTTTCAGTCATGTCTGACTCTCCAGGACCCCATTAGGGGTTTTTCTTGGCAAAGATACTGGAATGGTTTGGCTTTTCCTTCTCCAGCTCATTTGACAGATGAGGAATTGAGGCAAACAGAGTTTGCCCAGGGCCACACAGCTAGTGAGTGTTGGAGGCTGGATTTGAACTCAGGTCCTCCTGACTGCAGGACTGGCACTCTATCCACCTAATTGCCCAGAACTGGGACAGTGAAGAAGGATCTGGTCTGGAGGCCACAGTGAATATGACCTGTTCTTTGATGTGACTTTGCTATCATTCCACTAGTAAAACAAATTCAAGTGAATCTAAACTTAATCCTATAGAATGTAAAATACTTGAGGAATTAATTTTTCATTTTGTCTTCTTGGAGTCAGGAAGATCTGAGTTCAAGTGTGACCTCAGGTACTCACTCACTGTGTGCAAGCCACTGCATCTCTGTCTGCCTTGGTTTCCTTGACTACATAATACTAACATCTCTCCTCTGTCAGGATTGAAGGAGATAACAGTTGTAAAGGGCTTAGTACAGTGCCTTACACATAGTAGGCACATAATAAATGCTTATTTTCTGCTTCACTTCTTTGTATCCCTAGCACAATGCCTTGCACATAGAGGGTGCTGAATAGTGGCTTATTGAATTGGATTGGACATATTTACTCCCAACTAAATGAGACAGCATGGTTCAATGGAAAGACCATTAGCTTGGAAAGCATGAGGCCTGGGTTCCAGTATTAGTTTCAATACTATGCAGCTATGTGACTCTGGACCCCTTTCTGGGTCTCAGTTTATCATTCTGTAAAATGAAGAGTTAGTCTACAGTGTCTCTGATACCTTTTTCAAACTCAAAATCTTATCAGTCTATAACCCCTTGGCAACGCAATCACCTCCTGCAGTTCCTGTGGCTTCATCAGTTTTTTTAAAAATGGGGCTAATGCTTTCCCTACCCACCCCTTGTTACTGTGACTCAAATGAGACTAGAGCCCTGAATATGTGTTGCAGAGTAAAAAATACGCCATCAATGCACGTGACCCTGGACTTTCTGTCTCCTGCGCCAGCCAGAGAGAATTGTAAACAGGATCGAGTTGGCTTTGGAGCTGTGGCATAGGACCAAAAGCAAGTTTTTCATGTGAAGAGATGGAGGAGATGGGGAGAAGCTTTGGAGATGGTCATTTGAGCACTTAGCCACCTAACATTTTCTCTAAGGGTTATTTTTTCCCTCCCTGGTCAAGCTGCTCCTAAGAGCGAGACACTCCTTCCTATCTGTCAGTCCCTCCAGGACTTCCCCCCTTCCGTCTTCCCATCCCCCCAGAGTTCAAGGCTACAGAGAAGATTGTGAAAACCCAAAAGAATTTGGCAAAAGATTCCAAAGCACTAATTCTTTGGATTCTTTTTCTCATGGGTGGTTATTATTATGATCTAGTCGTTAATACTATTGTTAGTAATAGCAACCTGTTACATTGGTGCAGCACTTCTTATTTTCAAAGCACTTTCACACATAATTTCATTTGATTCTTATGACCACCCAGGGAGGTAGGACTTCATTATTCTCATGTTACAGATTAGGACACAGAGGCTCAGAGATGTTAAGAATTTCCCCAAGGTCACACGACTAAAGTAGGATGAGAAACTAGATCTTCTGTCTCCTAGTCTAATACCATTTCTTGAATACTACTAATATTTAAAGGACAGTCTTATCCTACAGCAATGGAATAAATACCTCTTTCAAGGTCCCTCCCAATCCATTTTTTCACCAGAGTCCCCCTTCTCTGATCTCTGCCATCATTGGTATATTCGATACCATTTTATGCCTCTTTTTAAGGATCTTCTTTTCTCCCATCCCCACCCCCATTTAGCATAGCATTGTTGGATTCCCTTGGTCACTCCCATGGGCATGAACATGTCATGAATGCTAAAGATATGGTGCTCAATATGCCACCATCTGCAGATTACAAGGACCCTTCTGTGCAGCTGTGTAACAGCAGGGGTGAAACTGGAGGAGAAGGGATGGGACCACTTTGTGTTCTCAATCCCCTGGGGGCTGAGGGAGGCAAGATTGGCAAGTGTGAGGGAAAACAAGTTCTTTGGAGCTAAATTAGGAGGGCTTCCTTGCTTACTGTGCCTAAGCAACTGGGTGTCAATGCCTGAGCGCAGCTGGGCAAGGAAGCATGTGGCAAATGCTAGCTTTCTCCTCTAGCTGCAGCCCACCAACCATGGAATCAATTCTCCTCTCCTCCTCTCAAAGAATGGAAATGAGCCCCATTCTGAAGGGTTGCCTGCACTGTTCCCTTCTCAAAAGATCCCCATTTAAGATACCTCAAGTGGCCCAACCTCTAAAAGTTCCAGAAAATGTGTAGCTATAATCTGTCATTTTCAAAGCACTGTATTTGGAACCAGGGAACTTGCATTCAAATCTCATCTCTAATATGAGTTGCTGTGAGCAGGTGACTACTTTTCTTGGCCTGGGTTTTCTCACCTCAATGTGCCTCTGTAATGTGCTTCAGCGTTTCCTCATCAGTAAATGAGGAGGTTGGATGAAATAGCCTATAGGGTCTCTTCCAGCTCTGTGATTCCAGAAATCTGAAATAGCTTCTAAATCCATGAAACCATGATACTAATTAAGGCCAGGGGAGAGGGAAACCACTCTTTCGGGGAAGCACCTTCATCAGTTACTCTCCTCTCTGCCTGGTATCTTATTTTCCTACCTTGAGATTTTCTCACTAACCTAGCCCAATAGAGAAGTCAAAAAAGAGTTCGGGGGGTGGGGGTGGGGGTGGGTGGTAGTAACCAATACTACCTTTTCTGGTTACCAGGCAAGAAAAGGTTAATCCCTCCTCTGAGCTGGAAATAAGGAAATTCAGGAGTGAGCCATGCCTTGGAATTCATACCACTTTCTTTTCTCACAGAATAAAAGTGGTTTGGAGAAGAGAGGCAGGTAAAGTCAAGGCTGATTGCAAGAAACTGTAAAGGTTCAGAGTGCTTTCTTTCCTTCCTCCTCTCTAGTCAAACACCCTGCTCATCTCCTCCCAGCTCAGCCTACCCTGTAAGACTCCCCAACTTTCTTCTCTGTCCTGAGGTTTCAGTGGAAAGGTTCCCTTCCCTCTCTTTCTTTTGCTTTTACAGCTTAGGAGGCGTTTGTGAGAGCCTGAGACAAACGCAGAGAATGTGGGGGTGTGTGTGTGCGTGAGTGAGAGAGACTCTGTGTGTGTATGTGTGTGTGTGTGTGTGTGTGTGTGTGTGTGTGTGTGTGTGTGTGTGTGTGTGTGGTATAGAGCCCGGTTCGGTGCATCAGGAGGAATCAAAGGGCCAAAGTGCTTATACAGGACACATATGACTTTTTGTGTACTTGTGTGGGTGCAGATGAAAGTATAGCCTCTGTGTGTGTGTGTGTGTGTGTGTGTGTGTGTGTGTGTGTGTGTGGTATAGAGCCCAGTTTGGTGCATCAGGAGGAATCAAAGGGCCAAAGTGGTTATACAGGACACATATGACTTTTTGTGTACTTGTGTGGGTGCAGATGACAGTATAGCCTCTGTGTGTGTGTGTGTGTGTGTGTGTGTGACAACGTGCGAAAGGTGTGGGGAAGCAGGTTCTCTAGCCATGTTTCTATGGAAACACCTAATTTGTAGAAATATTACATGGAGCTCTGAGCTTCACAGAAAACATCTGTGCCAAGAAAGTTTTACTTTTGAAACAAATAGCTTATTGTAGGGGGAGGAGGGAGAAAAGAGGAGGAGGAAGAGAATTGGGAAGGGGGGTAATGAGGGAAACTAAACTTTGAGATAATATAGAGAAAGAAAGAGAAAAGGAGAGAAGGGGAAGGGATGAAGGCAGGATGGAAAGGAGGAAGCAGGGAAGAGAAAAGAAGATAGAGACTGTATCAGCTTAGGTTACCAAGTTGGAAAGATCAAGAAGAAATTTGCTAGAGGGGAGATTGATGCATATCTTGTTCCCTCTTTCCCCACCTGTTGGGCCTTACCTGTGCACACCCGCCCTTCCTTTTAGCTCTGTGTATAAATCCCAGGAAAGTGTCTCTCTCCTCCTCTTCCTCCCCCACCCTTCAGCGGAGCTCGGAGCGGTGAGCCTGACTGCTCCAACTTCTGGTCTCTGCGTGTGTTTGCCCTGTTTCTATTCCTCTAGATCCTATTGGGGAGGGGAGGGGGTGGGAAGAAGGGAGGGAGGAAAGGAGAGAGGGAGGGAAGGATGGAAGAAGGGAGGGAGGGAGGGATCTAGGAAATGGGGGGAATAACAACAATAAAGTCTTTATTTGGCAGCCAAAACTCCCAAAGAATTAATCCTCACACATCGTGCCTTCTAACGGACTCAAATTTAATAACATTTCCTTCTGCTGCAGCCGGTTCTGGAGAAACCCTACATGGTCCATGTTTTGAAAACAAACTAAGTTGCAAAAAAGAAAGAAGCATGCAAAGAAACCTCACCCATAGGCTGGGCAAGAACATGAGCAGAACAGCCGGGTCCTCAGCCAGACTCATTCTGATTCAAAGAATTGCTTTCTTTTTGGTCAGCCCAAGGCAACAGAGCTTTTCAAGTGTCCTCTGAACAGGGCTCACAGTTGCTGTCATGTTCCTGAAGAGGTGACAGGATAGACTAAATAAATAGCAGTTAAGAAATAGTGTACTGACATCACGCCATTTGACAGGGGGAGACTTTGTGACCCAGAGAGAGGTCATACAGCAAGAACAGGGTTCTTAACTCCTCATCTTGAAGTCCAAGTGGACGCTTTCTCTGTCAACCAAGATTTCTGCACAAGCTCATCCCGTTTCAAACCCACACAAAATTTCATTGTTGCATGAATACCACCACAGAAAAATTCCCTAAATGAGACCCTGACCACACTTCCTATAGGTTCTCTGGACCCAGCCAGATCCTTGTTAATACTCCAGGACCCAAGTCATCTTCACCAAAGAACCATTCATAGAAACATAGAATCTTAGTGATAGAAGTACTTTAGAGATCATGTAGGCCAATTCCTCTTTATATAAAGTACTGAGGGCCCTCCTCACAATGGGTCGCCATAAAGCTATCCCCGGGGCACTTTGTGGGTCAGCATCCACTCAAAGCCATCTCATGTGCAGCCCCTCCACACTCCACTCCCCCTCCAGCCCCATGTGGTTACTTTTGATAGGCCAATGAGATGACACATCAGTCCAAATACAAAAAACATTAATAAAACAGCATAGCAAAATAAATGTGGAGTGTTTCCCCACATACAAACAGAAGTATACTTTCCCACAGTTTACTACACTACCAGGGAAGAGTACATGTTAGACAATATTTGGGGCACATGCATAGACAATATTGGCCGGACAACACACGAGGATGGGTATACACATGTGGAGAACACGTATGGTTAGCAAATACTAGTGGCCCAGGCAACTAAAGTCTCTGATGCTACATGGTTGACTCTGTTAACCTTTACTGGGTGTCTCTGTTGAACTGTTCTCTTGACCTGCAGTGTTTTTACTAAGGTGCTCTCTACTTCCACCTGCTGGCCACCTGCTATGTGGCTTCTTTACTGAGCAGCTACTATGTTGCCATCTGCAAGTCTTCAGCTGCCATGGTGTTTCTTCCTCACCATGGCTGGGGGCAAGGGAAGGGAGGCGCAGAGGAAAGGATATTGACAGATTCTTATGCTTATAATCCTAGGGGCTATCTTCAGTTCTTTTGTGATGTAGTCCCCAGACAGCTATATCCAGCCAGCTGCCTAAGTAGAGAAACTGTTACGCCTTTTTACTGTCCTATCCCTTGCTGTTGCTCCGACTTACTCAGTCCAATCTCTTATTTGAATGATGGTACAAAATTCCTTTAAACTCCCATCATTTACCTGGTTATATAGCCCAAGTATCCTTCAAATCATTCCAAGAACTATACATAACAAAATCGCAAAGTACAGTGAAACTAGAAAATTCTTTTCACATACACACACACACACACACACACACACACACACACACAAAATGGCCTAGGTTATCTTGCAAAACAAGACAGGAACAAGACCTAAATTGTCTGGATGGAACTGATGAAGTCTGCCCCGCACTCTTACTAGTGTTCAGCCCCTTCCTATAGGTTCTCTGAACCCAGCCAGATCCTTGTCCTTACCCTTAGCAAACTTTTGTGACCTCTGACTCTAACAGGGTATTCTTCTAATATGATTTTAGACATTCCCACAAGGATATCGCCTTACTTGAAGTACAGCCAAGAAGAAAGAGGGTCAGTAGAAAGGAGCTTTTTGTACAGACATTGCAGATTGGGACCCATCTGGTTTCCCTCAAGCACCAGGGAGCAGGTGGGAGTAGAAGTTTTGCCTGAAGTTGCAGTGGCTCTCTGTTGCCTCTAGGATAAAATATAAATAAACTCTTCTTGTTGGCATTTAAAACCCTTCACAATTTGGACACAGCCTGCCTTTACAAGTACTTTTTATTTTTTAACATATTACTCCCCTTCATATAATCTACTCAAATACTCAACTCTCAAATGGACCTATGTTCTCATAAATTCAGGAGTTCTCTCTAAAATCAACAGATCACAACCAATCCATGCCTGCCCATTCCGTGCAATTTGCATACATACCCTTACAAAATTCACTACTGGGGGTTTACTCACCATGTTGGAAGGCTTCCTCAATTTCTCCCCAAACCATGAGTATACCAGTGGAGCATTTGGGTTGTTCAACTGTCACCCCCTTGCCCTTACCATGTGACTAAATCATCTTCCCTTTTTGTCATACAATGCTCTGATTACATAATTTATCCTATTCTTCATGTTATATGCTATAGGTTGTTGCCTGGTCGCATTTATTATGTACTTTTCCATTACCCTCTGTGGGATGCTCATCTTTATTTCTTCAGGGGCAGTGGCTTTCCATGTCTCACACTGGTAAAATGTTTATATCGAGAAGATGAATTATGGGAAGCTTGGATATTATAAGAAGTAAAAGTGCTTTGCAATTTTCCAAAAGAAATGTAGCTCACTTTCTTCCTTTTCAGTTATACCTAATTCATTGTCCATCTATATTGTGTGTCCCATAAATACATATTATTGGACAAGAGCTATAGGTTGTCCATTCAGATTCATGTTGAAATCTAGACAATAGACCTTGTTCATCCATTTGGTGTTTCCCATGTGGACATATCGGCCAAGCTCTTTGAGTGGTAACAGATCTCTTTTCAGAAGCTCTGCAATGTCTTGAGACTCAATACAATCAACACAGTATTATCCATGAACATGAATATCTGGAGTACTCACCATTCACCCTCCTCAACCTAGTCACTGCACTGTATTCTTTCTATCACAGATGAAGATTTTTGGCAAGCGTACACCTCCCTGTTTTGTGCTTCCCCTGGCGTTTATTATTGAAAGGTCATTGAAGAGGTTTACTTCTGTTGTTACATTTTCCAAAGAGTCATGAGTGATCTTGATATATGGATCAGAGCTCTCTTGCAGCAAGAGAGCCTGTAAAAATACATTTTATTCTACCAAGTCGAACGCTTTTTTTTTTAAAGCTATTGGGGTTAAGTGACTTGCCCAGGGTCACACAGCTAGTAAGTGTCAAATGTTTGGTCTGAGGCTGGATTTGAACTCAGGTCCCCTTGACTTCAGGGCCAGTGCTCTATCCACTGTGCCACCTAACTGCCCCTTGAATGTTTTTTATGTCATCAAAACAGTCTACACAATGAGATCTTATGTTCTCTACATCTTTCTATTAATTATGAGAGGGTGTTCCCTGCTAATACTCTCATTGCAGATGCTCTTAATTCATGTATAGATGAACCCTTATAAAGACTTTGTATAAATGGTGTAGTTGGTAGTTGTTCGTGTTCTTTTGGTCAATTTTTTTGGTTACCAATAACATTTGAGATTTCCCTCCCTTCCCATACTTTTAGTATCTTCCCCTCATTGGATATCTTACAACTTGGTCCCTCAGTGCCTTCAAAACCATGTCACTACCAGCATGGATCTCTTCTATACAACTAGGCTATCTTTTTCATTTTGTTCTTTTCAAGGCCATTTCTTTTCCTCTGTAAGCTCTTCAGTAATTGTGATTTTAGTCTCTGAGTAAGGTGCTTCCATTATACTTGATGGAGAAAGCAGTTCATTGTTTTTGCAAATCTTTTCCATTTTTCTTCTGTTTGTAGTCCTCTTTCTATTCTCATGCTTGAGTGTCCTTGGGATGATTGCTTAGTTGAATATCTTGCCAAGCTTTCCTTAGACTATTTCTATCCTACAGTGTTTCTCTCTGTTTTATAAGACAATGACACTCATAATTATCAATTCTCTTTCTATATATGAATTACAGATGAGTTAATATTCCAGCCCAGTATTATCTTTGGAAGCTATCTTTCTCTACTTAAAAAGTAAATAAAATGTTTGCTGGCTAAGGGCCCTTGGTCAGAGCCCTTCTCTTAGTGGCAATTAACTTACATTGGTTTAGCTTTCAAATAAAATTACTATAGTCAGTGTTGATGTCATTTCTGTTGTCCATCTTCCTCTTTTTTCTAATAGCTTGCTTAAATTATTCAGGGTTAAACCTCAATTATCCTATCATCTATTTTTTCTCATTAGTATTATTCCCCCTCATTTATTATGAATTCTCATCTTAGCTCCAACAAGTTAATAGTCTAACTGTGCACAGCCAACTGACTCAGCTGACTCCCATAATCACAAAAAGTCTTTCCCTGAGATGTTAGTTGGTGCTTGCCATGTTCAATGCTTAAAATTCTTTTTTTTTTTCTGAAGATAATATTTACAATATAGATACTTGAGGGTTCTTCATAGTCTACAAGGCTTTGGCCTTTCTCATTTCTTCCTCCTGAATCATACTTTCCCGTGCATTTTTCCCTATTCTTATTTTTCCCCACTCTTGTACTGAATTCACCAGTACAGAGTTCGTGTTGATTTTATCTGGAGGGTCTTATCAAGTTTGTCATAGGATTTCTCTGGAACTTAATCTTTAGCAACTGATGTTGGCCTATAAGCTTCAATTATGTCCATAATGGTCTTTTTGCAAATATTTATCATTGGTACAGCAGAATGGGATGACCAAATATCTCATGAAATAATATTTCTTGTAGCTTTGGAGCAAACAATGAAACCCATTCTGCCAACTCT